TTTGGTTTTTGGTGGCGCATCTTTTAACCCTGTGTGGTTATAGTTGTCAAGATTCACATTGTTATCGTTAGTTGGAATAAATTTGACCTTTTTCTTATCAACTTTGGTGTATTGTGCAGTCGACGACTCCTTTCCAGCATTCCGTTGCCCACCGTCTTTAGCAGCTGATGCTGATGGTTTATCTGGTGCCTTAATCATAGAATCATCAATGTATGTATAGTTTGCAGGTTCACAGTCCTCTTTTCTTTCGGGATTCGCTGTTGCATTTGGAACATTTCGTTTTCTGGCATCTTTACTGTCATTCATTTTCTCGAAATTGCGTTCAACAAACGAGAAATCCTGTCTTTTGAATTTTGGATTTTTCCTCTTCTCTTCGTTTGGATTTCTCTCCTTGGCATGACTGCCCTGGTTAGCACCGGGGTTGTTTATTTTACTGTAGCCGACTTTGTCTAAATCAACATCAATATAGGTATAATTTGAGTTTCCTTTAGGATCATCGTCGACAGTAGAGTAGTAATTATTTTCATTAACTTTATCTTTTGGTCGACGTCTTCTCCTGCTAAATAAAAATTAGTTCTTAATTGTTAAACTCCACATAAGCATGTCTCGTCATACTGTCTCTAACACTCCATTGATACGCGTCATTATATCAATGTAATACGTCATTATGCCAACATTACGTCAATACTCGTAATTCCATAACGTGGGTGACCGCTTGAAACCTCGTTTATATGCCATATTTGGTCATTTTGACTTTTTTGTACCGTTCGAAAGCTCGTTAAAGCGCGGATCTTGTGATCAAAACCTCGTATTCAAAAAGCACTAATTAAATAGCACGAATTTAAACAGTCAGATTTAAAACCTCGTAAAATATATTATTATACGAGGTTCAATGTTCCTTTCCTGCAGATGAAAATGAAAAACCTTGTATACTGTATTATTATACGAGTTTTTGGTTCAATAGCCCGGAGAATTCAAATTGTTATTGTGGTTTATATTTTCCAAGAATGAAAACCACGTATAGTAAAAATAATAAAAAAGATTTTAATAAAATACGCGTACAAATAGTTTTTTGCGTTTTTCTCGAAAAGTAATTCCGCGTCATATATCGTTATACGAGGTTTCAAGCGGCCACCCACGATAAGCAAAACGCTATTGCGTTTAAAAACAGCACAAAACTTGAACAGGCGACTACAGCATTATAGGTAGATGGTCATCTCCGCCTGTATTTTTCTAGCCAATTAAAGACGAACTTTTCGTTGAATTTTCACCCTGAAAACAAATTTCTGTTGACTATATAATAACTAATAGGCATTATGTATTACAACGACCAGAAATTTTATTTTACAAACCTCTTAACTACGAGGACAGATATAATGATAACTATAATGACGACCAGAACAACCACTCCTCCGACAGTACCACCGATTGTTCCAGCCAGATTGGTCTCAGGATCTTCCATACGTTTCGATGATGGGGATGTTGTTGATGGCATGGAGCTACCTAGAATTATGCAGAAAAT